TCTTGAACTGTACCTACGTATACATATGTAGACAATTGCAGATACTACCCTATTGATCAAATATCTATTATCCGAATTGCTATCGTTTCGAACGATTTTATGCGTCAACGGAAGCCCATTCTATTTCTCCTCGTAATTTGTAACCGTAGGGCAGTGTTAAAATTATTTTTCGAGTAGAGAAAAATTCGACGGTCCCCAGTATAAACGTGCTCCTGTTATCTTCTCTTCGAGTTTCTGCATTCCCTGTGTGTGCCTTTTCTCCTTCGTTCACCTTTATTTTCCTTAGTTTCCCGCTGGTGTGCCGTGCGTCCTGTCCTTTCTCACCGCCGGAGACCCTTCGTCAGAACTGTCCCCGTCCCCCGATCACCCTCTATCAAATTGACCTCTCGTTTCTCATGGCGGTGCGCGACTGTATTCCACCGGGAGAAAGAAACTCGTGTTGATTTTCCGGGAGCTCTCCCAAGGCTGTCTGTTTCTAAATTGCTCGTTCCATGCCGGCTACCCTCGTCCCTTTGTTGCGCCTACGCCAGTGCGATTGGACGCACCAGGAACGTCTTGCCCAATGGAAACGAAAATTTGATCAAATTCATGGGTGCAAATTGTGCACGCTGAAGAGGCCAATTTAAAAAATAAACGGAAGGATAGAAAAACGACGTTGCTGGAATACGGAGAAAGTTTGTCGATATCTCGACTGATAGCTTTAATTAGCGAATAATAACTAAATATTTGATATTCCCTGAATAATTCGCCTACTTTCCCAACTAGGAATAATACCTAAATATTAGTAGCGGAACTAGAGAAGCTCGGCGGGAGGAACAAAAGAATCCCAGCTCTGAAAACAATAAATAGACATAAAATAACAATACAGTATAATTCCGATTATCCGGCATACTCGGGACTGTGGCAATGCCAGATAATTGGGCTATACCTACATATGAAGTGATAAAAACGAGGAATTGGACTATTTTTACAGAGTTTTCCTCACTTTACGGGGATAAGGAACAATTTTTCGAACATTCTTGGAGTTTCTACATATTTTTCATCAAAATACGCGTTGTTTGCACTTTGAAACATTAAAATCCTTCAATCTGTTCAGAAGTTATAACGTTTTGAACATACAAATGAATTTTCAGTAGAATATTATTTCATGGTCAGACATTAAATTTTCGGTAATTAATTTTTTTCTCGAAACTGCGTAAGATTTTGGGGGTATGTCAATTCACCAAAAATACTTGTATTTGACCTCCGCAGCCAAAAATTTTTCCAGAACGATTTGAAACTTTTCAATTTTGCCAAAAAATTTCAACACCTACTCGAATTTTGTTCTAGAAAATAGTTCGGATTTCGGGGTATGTGTATTCACCAAAAATGGTTATAATTGACCCGCGCAACTACAAATAATTTTTTCAAAACTATGTGAAATTTTTTTTTTTCACCGAAAAATTTAGGCATCTACCCCCTAAAGTTTTCGAAGAATCTCTTAAAACAATTAAAATTCAGACAGCAGATAATTTTAGTAAATACTAAGGGGATCGAGCCCCCCTTGTGGATACAGCCTGTACACGCCATTGCTAAATAGCGAAAGATCAAAGTTCGCGTGTACTTGGAACTTCCTAGCCCATAACGTTGCATTCCACCGTCGTCCACGACTCCCAAGTCGCTCCTAATGATTCTAGTATTGAATTAAACGCGTTCGCCCAGATCGTTCCACTTCTTTCAATTGGATCCAGACCCTTGCAACCTAAACCACCGGTTTCCCGAGTGTCGGTCCACAAGAGCAACCACCCTGACTGTTCACCCTCGTCCCGACGTAATTCCTGACGGTCCCGACGATGACACCCGGGGTGCAGTCTGTCGCGTGGCGACACGTTTCGTTGTTCTGAGTCACATGTCGTTCCGTATGAATTACAACTCCATTAACGTTCTAGGCAACCTGCGAGCATGCATAATGCCGACGAATCGAGCGGATGAGCCGCGCGGGCCAAGATGTTGATTTATGGGGGAAGGTCGCGAGCCGTTCAGAAACTCAGCGTCTTTCGTCGAAGGGAGGCTCTGCGCCAAATTGATTAAGTTTTTAGTCCGCCAGTCGCGGGAACTGTTATTTGCTTTTCCTTCGACAAAGATGGCGGCGTTCTTCTGTTTTTTTTCCCCTCGTCGTGAGGTTCCAAGAACGATGTTCGACCGGAAACGAGCGACAGAACTTTCGTTTCGTGTGCTTCGAAAAATGAAAGCTTTGCTGAGAAATTTTTAAATTTAACATTTTATAAATATTAAAATATTATCTCTGCACAGTTTGATCGTTAACCCCGTCGACGTGCGATTTCATTGCAAGTAATATTTCAAACGTATTCTATTTAATATTGTTTACATTCATACAATGCTCATATTTAATATTGTTTACATTCGTACAATGCTCATAAAATAAGAATAGACTTGTTTTAACATAATTAATTTTAATATAAACGTGCAAATATAAATTGTATCAATTTGGATATCTCATTGGTATTATGGTAAATGTCAGAGAATAAATTTTCATCGTGATTCGCCTAACCCTGGACACCCCTATATTCTTATTATTGTCTTTGCTAATTAATTAACGTATCTTCAGGAATCGGAGAAATTTAATAAAGATATGCGTGTAACTTTCAAGGTATTCCAGGGATGGATCTAAATACACGAATTAGGGGAAATTCGAACTGACAAAGGACTACCCTTCGTCAGGGCGAACCTCCTTGGAAATGGCGGTCGCCCCGTGATGCCGCAAACTACTAGAAAATTGATAGTAACTTCGTGCTTAATTATCAAATGCACATACACGTTCGCTCTCATGGTTTCAAGATCAGCTACGTCAGAACGTTTAGTCACGTGTAATGGAAATTTTCGATTCTTTTTGCTTCTCGGTGTATTTTTTTTTAAATATACATTACTACGGCAAAGTTGAACACTTGCATTTATTAATTTACATCGCAACTTCAACGATAGAAAGTTCGATCACAGTTACAATCGAAAGATAATTAAGCCTGTTGATTTCGGGCATATTTTTCATTCCGGCTATCGACGAAATTACATTTTCCGTATAACGCAATTTCGCGCGTTTTCAGAATATGTTACAGGGCTACAGCCGATTAGTGTTAGCGGCAATAAAATACCCAGCTATAACTGCATTTACGAGCAGGCAATAAGCGTCAAAAGTAAACAGCCTGTTTCGCAATTAGGGAAATACAGACAGCGTGACATTAAAGTCGTGCACGACGGTAGATTGAAATTTTCGTTCTCAAAATATTGAATATAAATCGCATCATTACGCAAACGATGAAGTAGATTTTTCTACGTGTAAATTTAGTTATTCGTGGTGGAAAAATAAGAGTTTCAAATTCTCGAGGACAAGATAAAAGTTATATTTGTGTCTTTGAGTATCGTTAAAAAAACAATAAGAACAACGAGTGCTGGATGACAGTTTCATAGACTTACCGGCGGCGCCTAGAATTATTCGTCGTCTGATGGAAATCATTTAATGCAGTCATCTTGCAGAATCTCATTCACGCTGTCAACGTATAACCGTACGGGTAATCCTGTCAGTTCGAAGCTGCAATAAATTTAATCTTACTCCGAGCACGGTGTACTATACCGTCGCGCGGCTGCCGTTTCACAGGTGGATTAATATAACGCCTGTGATTGGCAATCACGATTATTATTACACGAGATCAGGATTAAGAAAGACGCCGTTGGTCCCTGACCCATTCCAATGTCTATCGAACCCGCCTATTTTTGGATCCGGAACAGACACCTGCCCGAAGCGTGCATCGCCAGAGGGATTCTTATATTCATGATGCATCCATCGAGTATAAGAGAGAAATAGAAAAATAGGCGGAAATCGTACGCTTTGAGTTTATTTGTCTTGAAAACCGTGGCAGCGGGAAGCGTTATTTTTTTCGTTAAGAAGATTGGAAAATCAACCGACGACGTTCAAAATGAAAAAGATATGATACGTAAAATAATTTTCTTCTTATTCGGAAGACTAAAATACTAAACATCGCAGGAAACGATCAAACGTTCATTGGAAGTTCATTTATCTTCGAATGATTTCGAAGGACTGTGCAAATTATATATCTTTTAGCTAAAGAAGCTACGCGTTCGTGCAAGATTTGACGACTGTGCAAATTATATATCTTTTAGCTAAAGAAGCTACGCGTTCGTGCTAAGCAGGATAAATAACATAATCTGATATAGAAAGGCAGATAATTGTCTAAAAGAGGTCAGAATTCGGACGCGAATTTTTGTAGCTCCGACAGCTGATAAGTGCAACCTCGAAAATACAAAATTCGTTGATTAGGTCATAAATTTCACGCGTTCGATTTGTCCTGCCGCAAGAGGAAGTCCTAAATCTCCTACGTTTCACGCAAGAAGTTCAAGTTAATCCGTCAGAGGTATTAGACGGTGTAATCCATCAACCCGCGACTTCCAGGTAACCGTGAAAACGAAAACGAGGCTCGTAATGCAATTACATAGCATGCTTTCCGCCATCGCCCTTGTCCCTCCGTTTCGACCCTCCATTTTACGCGACGCCAGAGGGAGGACCTCGAAGTAAGAGCAAACGAAAGAAAAGACTCGCTCCTTCCAATCGAACTTTCGCAATCAGTGAAAAATAAATTTGTTAAATTCGTTAAAAATTTGGCATCCGTGCTTTTTGCAGCGCCCCACGGCCGGTGAAAAAGAAACGAAACGGTTTTTTAAAACAATGTTAAGTGAAATTAGAGAAAGAATTAATATAACGTGATGATCCAGTGCTAAAACGCGCATTTCGCTCGTAACGTTAAGGAATCTCATTTCTGGGTAATTTTAACAAATGAACCGAATATAAGGGATGAAAAGGATTCCCCTAGGGTCCCCTGATTATTTTCAACAGCCAACTTTCGCTTCGACTTCTTGGACGTACACTGATATTAACTTCGATGGTTATTCGAAACCAGGCGGAAATAAAAGACTGTAGGTTTACTAACTTGAACTCTGGCTTCCGTCAAGTCGATCTTTATGGCGATTTCCTCTCTGGTGTAAATATCCGGATAGTGAGTCTCTTGGAAGGCACGCTCTAACTCTTTGAGCTGAGCGGACGTGAAGGTAGTTCGTATCCGACGCTGTTTCCTCTTCTCCGCTAGGCCATCGTGTCCAGAATATGCCTTGTAGCCTAGACCGTCTGAAAATTCAAAGAATGGAAACGACGGTTTATTAAAACTGTTCATAACGAATTCAGTTTACGATGTCCAGCTGAACATTGCCTTAAACTGTTATTTAAAGTATTATTCGTCTTAATACAGTATTAACCGTCCTTAAAGTATTATTACTGACGTCTTTCAATAAATAAACGATCCCTTGGGAACTTATCAACAGTCACGAATTTAAACCTTCGCAATCAGCTGTTAATTTTTAAATAATGTCTCTGGTGTCACGTTCACGGTCGGGTTCAGTCTTTTCAAAATTGTTGATACCAAAATAGATAACGTTACCGAAAATTGCAAATGTAATTGCATCAAATCTTCCACGAATAGTGTCCTTTGTTAAATGAATAATTAACGCGTCAACAGTTTAAGATTGGAGCCTCCTTTTGTCCCCCTAAAACAGAGTGTTCCAGCACTCTGGTACGAATCTTCATCATCAACCAACTGTTACGTGTCTATGATAAATCCTTCGACTATGACTGCCTCCAGATCTTAGAGTCTAGATCCTCCGGAAGTGTAATGCGAGTTAGTTGATAAAGCGTTGAGGGAATCTCTGTCGGATCGGTTCGTAAGGAACGTCGGGTTACAACAGTCTTTGGAGGATGCTGTGCCGTGCAGAAGGGAGCTTATAGATGATAGAATATAGGTGAGGATGGCTGGGATAGCGAGCAACGTAACCATAGCAATGAGTGACTGAAGGGAAGGAGGGAGAGAAAGAGTGCGGCACGGTTGAAGACGGATAAAGAGAGGCATGGAAAAGCAAGAGCAGTTGAACAGAGCTGGGTACAGGGAAACGAACAAGTAAATGAGGGGGAGACCGAGAAAGAGTGACGAGGAGAGGCGAGAGACTGCGAGAGTCGGAAAGTGGAAGAGAGGGAAAGGGAGGACCGAGACACATCCATTGATTTTCAGTGCCATCTTGTCGTCGTTTCTGGAGGAAACACCGTGGGTAGGTTCGAGCATGGAGACGACTCGCGCCGCGACGAACCATCGCTGTAACTTTCCCCTGGGAAAATGAAGGACCACCCTCTTTTTTCCAGGGAAGACGATCTCCTTCGCCCCGCCCGCACACCCCTGTCAGCCTTGCAGCGTTTCGTCTTCTCCAATTGATTGTCTTTTCATAAATTCTACCGTCCTAACAATGGACACCGTTTAAGTTGCTTGTATACGAACAACAAATAGGAATTTGTTCAACCGCCTAACCAGATTGTCTGGGAACAATAATATGGTCGCTCGCTTACCCATTCGATTCTGGTGCTTTTCGACAGCTAGCATTTACTATTTAAAGAAAATTCTAGCAACCGGATACTCGAGTTTTGTAAAACCGAATACGTAGATCTTAGGTGAATTATAGTCTCGTGGATCTGAATTGTATGTTGCAAATGAACGAAAGTTTGGTCAAATATAAAAAAATGTTGGTAGTATGCAGGATCGACAAGTAGATGATACAATTGTCGATGGATGAAGGATTCATTTATCAAGCTGGTAATCTATCTTTTTGTTCCTCTGTCGAAGCAGTTTGTCAACATTTCTGTAAGCGTTCGTACTTCGGGATTGATAGAAATGTCTATCTTTAGGAATCAGCGTTTCAATGCAATGAAAGCATTAAAGATCGTGCTATTATTTCCAGTGAAAATAATGCGAAATAAATAAAGTTCTAACTATTTATATTTATATTAATGGCTGAAGTATTGCAAAATCAAACTCGATGTAAAATTTAGCGCGAGGATTAGTTGTGTGTGACTAACGTCCCACATAGTAAGTTCATAGAACATAAATTGCAATTGTACTGGTGACTCTTATAGTTTTTAATGTTAACGATTAGCAAAAGGAAAGTGGTGTTAAAAGAAGCTACTTAATGACTGATATACGAAAGAAAAATATTACTACATAGATGAATGACGGTAACTTCGTATAGACCACTTTTTTTTACATCAAATCTATTAATAATACGGAACGCGGATTTTGGATGAATCATTATTTAATAAAGTAGATCTAAATATAGAATATAATTCACATTTAATTTATATCAAAGCATGATAAAATCATTCGAGGTTTATACAAATTAAATTACAAGTATTCGAATCTACCGTCAACGCAATGTCTCACGAAAGTATCCCATTTTATTACAGTACAATGTTTTATTTAGATCAAAATAGACTTACTAAAACAGATCGTCGTTCGAGGATTAATCATTTAACAAACCGACCAAAAGCAATGAAATGATGACTGCGGGTAAAGTTACCAGAAGGGTACAAAGAATAAATGAAAGAACATTGAAAATATCATACTTGAATGCTCTGATTAAGAATAAGAAACAAAAACAAACCGTCCAAGGATGCATTAATAACTGAATCTCAAAGATGTTAGGGACACTCACTCTGCAAGTTAATGGCCGACGGAAAGATCGCGTGCCGATGAACTTCTTGAGATCTGGCAGCCATTACGGAGCAGGGGGTTGCATGGGCCCCGTGGTGAGCATGGGCATGAGAGTGGGAGGTGTGATGGGCCCCCAACGATGCGGTGCTTCCGGAACTCGTGGTGTCCGCGTTTCCCGGATAACCAGCTGCCCGTGCCGCGGTGTAACGATAAGCAGCCTGGCTCATTTGCGAGCATGAGCTCAAGTCCCCGTATCCACATTGCATTTCACTGGCGGCCAACGCACAGCTAGAGGCCTCGAAGCCCGCGGCGGCGGCCGCGGCCGCTTGGTTCAAATACGAGTAATTCATAGTCTCACTCGATGCACTTGGAAACTGGTGACCAACTGTGGCAGACTTTGCAAGCCCGTAGTCTTTGTCACGAACGTCAGAAGAGTATTAACGACGACGATAAGCACGGGTCACTTCGACAGTTCATCGAAAACTTGTCCGTCTGCTGTTGGTTCGAGGTCCTTTGTGTCCCAGTGTCCTTTATTTCGTGATGATATTTCTTGAATGATCCTCCTGATGTCACGCGTCAGCGTTGAATCGTCCTGTGTTGATAAACTGTGGGCAATACCAGGTTCTTCCGTTCACCTGTGCATCGTATGCCGAGGGATCTGTTCGCAGGTTCGATTAGATGGATCGTAAAAGACCCAAGAGTAAGCGGAGCCGTTGGGTTCGGAGCGCGCGAGCGCTGGCGCGCTCCTACGGGCCCTCGGCCGCGACGTTCCTTCAGGCCCCCAGCAGTACGCGGGTTTCTTTCGACGAAATCACGGATAATCGGAGCCGGTATAAAGGCGGAAGAGGCCGCCGAGCAGCGTCACGTAATTCTATGGTCGCGTACGAAAGCGCGAGGGACGGGCGCCAGGCCACCTCCTCGATAGCGGCTTATGACGCGTAATCGGATCAGCGATATCAAATTATTGCGATTATACCGCGGATAGAAAGAAGTTTTTCGGCCCGCTTAAGAGAGCCCGAGACGACCGACTGGTGGGTCTCCTCAAAATCAAATGATAAGCTTAATTCAATAATCGAGAGAGAGGGTGCACCGCGGGGGTGTGGCCGGATGCCTGTTACGGTGAAACGGGTTTGGTCACTGTCTGCCGCTTTCTGGATTCTGATTCGCTGAACCCCGTACCACCCCCCGGCCGAGAGCGAGAAGAGTCGCCGCCCTCGGAGCCTCTGTGTTCATCCCCGTCCGTGTGCCACCCCCGGTTCGTCGGACGACCTCTCCCCAACAGCCATCAGCCCGAATGAACGCTATCATTCGATGATGCTACCCCTCTACTGGTCTCGATTTTACGATCGATTCCGGGGTAGGCCGCTTCCGCTGGACACGAGAACCACGGTTCAAGCATATCGAGTAACCCTCGATGTATTTACGCCCGCGTCCTCTGCGGTTGTCTTGATACAATGAGAACTGGGATACTTACACACGTAACAGCGTAGATGCTAGAATGTCATTAATACGATTATTAATACTTGATTACTAATGCAAGAAATGCTAGTCCGTACCACCAACTTGTATCGTCGGATTTCTCGTCCATAACTTTTCCTTGGGGGAAGCAGACATCCGTAAGTTCGTTCAAAGAGATTCAACTTTGACGTAGAGGTAGAGGATGAGGTAGAAATGTGGAATATCCATTGTATTTTTTCACCCAGAGAGTCTCAAAATAGCTAAAAACAAACGAATTTTATAAATACCTTCGAGGAAACTCAAAACAAATGTCACTATACTCTGGGTCTAACAGAACATTATTTTTTCAAGTTTTTCTAAATTGATGGGTTAGTAACAATGCTTTAAAGTGTCAATAATGCTATTATTCTCGTAAATGGCTATGCAATTATACATTTGTACACTTTTATGACCTCAATTATTTTTATCTCATTTTGTTCGTGTCATCTAAATAAATGATTGAACAATTTATTATATAGTTATACGAGAGTTGATTTATGACTAACATCTCCAATCCTATAAAATACATTTAAACCAAGAAAAATCCTGTATTTGATGGAAAAGGTTGACTTTTCAACATCTCTTTCAATTTTGGGTACGACCAGAAATCTGAATCACTTTATTATTTTTACTGCGATTTGAAATAAATTGAAGTTTTTCAAACTTAATGATGTAACTATGATTCCTTATTAGTTTTCTCGTCTTTTCGTGTTAATTTAATTAAAAAAAAAAATAAACTACTCCCTTTGTGATAGATTTCTAAAATCAGATGTTCCCTATTAGCCGCCTTTATCCTATCTACTTTGCCGAATAGTATAGTAAACATAAAATCGGTACAAAAGACACAGCGTCGTATTACTGAGCATAGGAAAACAATAATATTATCTAAGAATTAATACGGCACCTTTCGTGTTTTACTCAAAACGAAATAAATATTTAAGGGCACAAACATGAGGGATAACGGGAATATAGAGCACGAAGTATGATTTATCTCCGGAAAGAGAAATTACATGACTAAACATGACACGGGGCTGGCCTTACGTAGGTGGTAGGGACCTGTGCGACACTTGTTTCGCACTTGTTCTCACGAAAGGGCCACGATGAGAGCAGTCCTGGTGCTCGACCCTCTTCCCCGTGTCTCCTCCCAGGAGAATTCTCTTCCAGGGTACGCGGAACGTAGTGTGCCACACAATACCAAACCGCCTGTGGTGTGTATACTGAGAACACATAGGAACGTGCCCCCCAATGGCGTAGCCATGTCAATAATTCCTCCTAGCTCTAACGAACGACGTTCGAACTGATGCGAATATCTCTTAACATCTTCGTTAAGATTAGATTCTTCGTAAATAGACCATAAAGACTGAACAAAATACAAGAATAATATTAAAATTATTTGCTCGATTACCATTACTAAATATTCTGTCGGTCAGCAATCGATAATATGTATTAAATGAAATCAAAAACAATACTAACTCTTTGAAACTTTGAAATGTGTAAATAGCGTTTCGATAATGTCTATGATCGTATGAAAAATGTGAGACAACGATGATTAAACAGTTGGAAAAATAAGGGATCAAAGAATTGTCTCAAAGTCCGATAAGTACGCCAATGTGAATGATCGCAAACATGGACGCACGCGCGCACACGTGCACTCATGTAAACGGAGTTTCGTCTTTTATATCAATACAGTGAACGTCAACCCCCCTTAGCGGTCTGATACATATGTCCTTGATTTGTCCGGAGAATAATATTCTCCTGGAAAGTTGATTAAATATTGGTTAGTGATCTCGGACGCTCTTTACCCCCGCTGCGATTCCACCCCATCGACTCGAAGACCCATAGGAATACAATTTAATATTTTCACGTACGAAAGAAAACCGACTATTTTTCTTCCGATTTTCACATGCTGCTGTCACGGACGATGGTTTCCCCATTGCTTCCGCCTTTGTGAAAGGAATTGTTTTTCTCGTACGTATTCTTCGTCGTTGTGCCTGAAGTATGTTGAAATATAAAACATGCTAGTTATTGGAACGTACCTATTTTGGTAACTTTGTAGTTACGATTTATATTGAAAAATGTCTGCGAGAAACAACGTACTTTTCTCTGTGTATTCGCGAACACAACGTATTCGTCTAATTATAGCCACGTGATATGAAATAGACTAGTATTTCCGGTATAATGAGACAGAAAATATATTAACGCGGTAATTTACATTGCCTTCCACTAAAATGTAACCGAGGGCTGATTAAAATGGGTTGCAATTATTCGTTGGCTTTCGTACGACATTATTGCGTCGTATAATGCAGTTAATCGTATACGTCGCACATATTTTGTCCCGTTATTGTCTCCGTTGTGATATAATTTATTTTTATGTATCGAAAACAGCAGCAGAATAATTGTGTTGTTTGTTAAATTGGCAGCACATTCGACGTTACGCATCGATCGAATATTATTTCGAGCAATATATTTGAAATAACTCACCGGTTTCCTGCTTGGACACTTTGTACTGTTTTGATGTTTTCAAAGATACGACTATGTAACGAAATTACTGCAATAAATAGCTATAATAATGAACATTCGAGTGATAAACGAAATTTTAGCGGAAGTGACGTCCTAACCATAAAAGTTTCCCTCCAATTTTATTGTTTAATGGCTCCGCCGACGAGTGGCGCTTCAGATACTGAAACTTGGAAAATTGTTTCACCAATTACTTTTCTAATTAATTGATACGTACTATTATTTATTAGTTTTTATGTAAGGAAAAAATATTGGAAATTAAATCACAGTTTTATATTTTATTTAAATTGTTTTATTGTAGAATTATTAATTTTAGCCATAATAGGTGGCGCCACATTACGCGCCAAAACTCTTCGTTGGCGGGAACAGTGCATAACGAAACCAAGAAAGATGGAAAAAGCAAAGAACCAGACAATGTACCGAAAATAAATTTAGTGCATATTTGTTGTCAAAGCAACACTGGTTTCTATCAGATTATGTTAACTAGCGTGCTATTTACGTTTACGAGGTAAGATTATCACTCGCATATCTTTTACTTTATGATACTTAGCAATTCCTGTCTAAACCGCGTGGTCGTTTTATATGATCAAATACTCGAGGACAAATAATTCATTGCACAACTAAGAAAGCTCAGATTACTAAAAAATTAAATCATTAATCTTTTTTGCTATACGTTCCTATATTTTGTTGTTACAATGAAATTCAATGCTTTAAAGAAGCTTTGAAAAGCGATCTCCTCTTATTTATTAAGAACCTCATATTTGTATAAATATACAAACATAAAGAAACAGAAATAATTATTTCAACATTTTAGATCATAGTTACATTTGTTAGGGGCGTTTGTATTTAAATTTGCTTTAAATCCAGAAATTATAAATACTTGAAAAAATTATCGAAGGAAAAACGTAACAAATAATTGTACGTATCTCACTGAAATATAATAGCAAACATATAAGGAATACAATATACGTTTAAAGAGTTTTGATAGCTTCATCTTTGATAGAAAACTGCTTGAGTTCTCACACAAGCATCGTTGCACTCTGAAACTAAACGATTAAAACAATTTTATCTTTATAAAATAAATTTTAATTATAAAACAAAAATTTGTATTTTTACCACCAATCGGTTGATAATGTAGGTATTTCTCCTTGGCGACACTCCGCTGCGACTTCTGAACATTGTTCGTATGTTGCAAATTAACCGCGATTGCATCATAATTAGAATTTCTCATTTCTATCATATTCTGTGCTGGAACATGTACTTTGTACACGTTCGAAGAATCTTTAACGCACTGAATATTCGAATGACATTCCGGTTGATACAAAACTACCTTCCTAGGATGCGAACATTGCTCGAACGAGACGTTTGAACGAGCTAAATTTTGCTCTTTAACGTACATTACTTTGTCCTGTTCACATGTTGGTATAATTATCACATTTTGCGAGGTTTCTTGGGGATATGACACAACGCGATAATTAACCTTCGGATTAGTCGATTCCGCGTTATCAACAGAGGTAACGCAATTATTAGCTTGCATATATATCGGGATCTTTTGAACCTTCGAGTCATTATCGAAGGCCAAATACTTGGCCGGTTGTTCCTCCAGCAGCACAGTATTTTCGACGCACTGATTGTTGGTAAAGTTGATATGCGAGTCGCGTTCCATCATGGGCAATATCTGTAAATTTTGTACACCTTTAAGTATACCAACATCAGCTACGTCCTTCTGATAAAAATGTCCACTCTGTACTGTTCTAGGTTTCTGCGTTTGAGGCGGTACGTTATAGTTGGGACAATTTTGCGCGCTACTCTGATCTTTGCACTGATCCACTACCACGTAATAAACGTGTTGATCCTTGTTATAGCACTGTTGACTGTTCTTACATTGTTGATGACACTGTACTTTTTGTAGCAACAGTTTCTCGCAGGCAACGGGCTCCTGTTGCGCGTGGTTCAAATCTTCAGAGTCCTGCGAGCAATGACGGGATCGATAACAGTTTTTCGACATTCGCTGACAATTGTGTGCCTCGCAAATATTGTTCGTGGATTTCTCAACTTGACGAGGAATGGTTTTCCTCGTTACGCAGTCTTTGGAATTGTCCACCGTGCTATCAGCTATTAAACTGTTCAAACGCAAACAGTGGCCTATATTATACGAATCCTTCTTCGTGAACATTATAGTCTTCTGAACGGGAGGATTGGGATTTTTATTGATATTATTCTGAAAAATATTGTTAATATTTTGCGGCTGTTGGTTAGAGTCCAGTTGCGAACGAGAATTCCTCCTGAAACGCATTTCATCGTCACGCAGCCTCGGCGATGCTGTTACACACTTATCTATAAATATTTCATTTTCATCGCAAGATGTTTCTAATCTCTTCATATTTTTATTCGGTCCCTTTATCAGGGGTTGTGGTGTAAAAATAACATTTTGCTTCGACGTTGCGTCTACCATCTCTCGAGATTCTTTATTAATATGCATCGATTCACTGAATAAATTCACTCGATCGTTAGCATTCAGGACATTGTTACTACCTCGTCTAAGTATTGCAGGTATGTGCTTCAGATTTTTCGTTTTACTTTGCTGCAATGTCTTTAAGTTCTGCTTTCTCAAATATCTCATTTCGTTGTTGAACAAATGTGATGTCTCTACACGTTGATTCTTCCTTCTCATCAAGGGTTTTTCAGCAATTAAATCGTTAGATACCTCAATCGTGGTTGGTACAAACAAAGTAGATTTTTCTACGTCCTTTGGCTTTTCGATTTTATTCAGGTTTTCAAAATAATTTATACCGTTGGACCTATGACACTTGAAATCGCAGAAATGATCGATCTCGAAAGATGTACAAATACGATCACTTAGTTCACTTTTATTGTCATTTTCAAGTTCGGTGTTATGTAGTTTTTTAATTTGTTCTGATTCTACAACACTGTTTACTACGGTGTTCGACGAGGTCAGTATGGAAAAATCAAATAACAAATTAGACGGGGGAACTTTGTTTCTCTTGTTCTCCAAATTGAAATTCGACTTGTTCTCGTCCTTGTTCTTTTCTAAACGAACCTGGTGTTCTGGTGCCTCGACGGACACCGACGCGAGTTCTTCATTTTGTCTATAATTGGAGGAACAATGCCCCAATTCTGAATAAAGATCATTTTGATCCGAACAACACGGAGTATTGTATTGTTTTAGCATCATGCCCCGTTTAATCATATCCTGCATAAATTTATTGTGGAACGATTCCGCATAGTTGCTTCTTAACTTTTTCTTCATAGTTGACAGCAGATCTGTAAATCACGGAAGTACTAAATTACTAATAAATACGTTAGATTCATTCATAAACTATGTTTTATTTGCCTGGATGTTAGATAAAATTCCTACTCTACGTGAAAACAATTTACTTAATTCGAATGTCGAAAAAGTGAAATAACGTACTTTCTGCATCTTGGCGCGGAAAATTCGGTTCTTCGAAATTTTCAGAACTAATTATGTTACAAAGTTTCGTATATCGACTGATCACAGAGTGATATGGACTCTCCGAGTTAATAAGTTTCGTTGTTTTTAGAGGATTCTGTAGAAATTCTACGTAATTCGACGGACCAACATTTTCTATACACTTCTTTCTGAAATAAATACATTGGTGTTGTAACATTTTAATTTACTTTCAATTTGCAATTTTTTTAATTGCAATTACCTAAAACTTACCCATTTGCTTTACCCAAAACAGGACTTACACACTCATTACCAAGAGGAGTCGGGCATAGAATATTTTTAATACTAGATTCGTGTTGTGGATCTTTTGTCTCTTTTCTGGTGTTATCTTCAACTATAATATAACTGAAAAACGTTAAAAACAAAATTAGCCTAGGAATAATTCCGAAAATTCGAGATCAATATAGTATGTAAATAAAACAAAATTATTTTTCGTAATTTTTACTTACTCTGACTTCGAATTGTAGCCGCGCAAAAGTTTCAGCATATTCCCTTGCAAGCGGGCAATACCTGACTCGTCCAAAGATATTTTCGGTTGTGCTATAAGTTACATTAATTAACTAATAGTGTTTACGGTAAAAACTTAATTGTTCAAAAAATTATATTATTCGTAATACGTACGTTTTCGTATTTCTTTTCCCACGGCGCCATTTCTATATATCCCAACTAACTGCACCGAAAACAAAAATGTTGCGTAAGATGAATATAGTAAAATCTCACGATATGTGTTTAAGAATGTATCATCTTAGTATTACTTTGTAATAGTTTCTTTTTGACTGTTAAAATTTGTTAGACTTACAGGTCTTGAGAGAAGTCTATTACATATTTTTTTCGAATTTCGCGCCTTGCCTGGATTGTTATCGATCTTTGTCTCCCTATCCTGGAATAGGATTTATTCAGCAAATAATGATCACAAACGATAAAAGAAAAGTAAGTTAAATTTTCCTAATATATACATATTCTTCTCGTATGTCCGCAAAACGATGTAAAAGCTTTATGAAATTACTTTGCCAAAACTCGCACGACTTCCGGTATTGCTGGAAAAAGTGCATTCGGTATATCACGATCGAATAAAGTTCCCATGGATAATTAATAAAAAATTAAACAGAAAATCTGTATTTATTATTATTTATAAAGTTTTTCATGATGATCAATCAATGAACTTAAAAAATATAAAGTAACAAAGAATAGTACTACTTCGCGTTTTGTTCTCGTCTTTGTTTTTTTATTCATTGATACACTTCATAAGATGCACACTTAGTTTTAATCGACGACGTGTTTATTCGACTTCATGATATTAAGTGTTAGCTAAATATTTGTTTCAATAATGTTTCAACATTTTATACTTTCTTGCACCAAACTAAGATACAGTGCTTTTAAACTTTAACATGTTTTACGTGTAATATAATTTAATATCGATTATAATCCGTGTCGATGCCCTTACGACTACAAGAAGGATTAATGACAATGTCAACTTGACAGACATAACCAAATATATTGTCGTATATCAATACATTATTGAATATTAAATGCGTCCTAGTGTATTTCTAGATTCAGTTTTAACATTAAACGAAATCTTAGTCTTGAGACAGAATGTTTAACCTCTATAAACAAAGTTTTATAACGATAAATATACATACCTTTCTTGATTTAAATATCTTTTGATGTATGGTTGTCAGTTCTCTTTTACGCTTCTTCTTTTTCGTTCTACCTTTCTGTTTATCTCGTATCATTTTTCGTCGTTCACCGTCCGAGCTGTCACTGGCCGCAGTGTCGCATATCACTTTACCCATTTCGTAATGTACAAGTCAGATTACGTTTCGAACACCGAAATCCACAAGCGTTTCGATGTTTGTTTACATTTCGTTCGCTTGCTTCGTATACGACGGCACAGTGTCACGTGCAATGAAAATATCAACGTACTTTGTCTCTGCCTACGATTTACCGAGCGATTTTTTACGTTACCACATTGAGACGCCACTGTTTTTTGCGTACTTCTGAACGAATTTACGTGTCGGTAAATAGTAACAAACGATTGCTACTATTCAGAATAAATAGACAATAGTTAAATAATTTTATTTACTATTTACAATGAATGTGTATGAAACATAATGTACAATTATTATTAACTTTAATAAATAATAATTCACTTTGCATGTAAAGAGGTCCATAAACGTCGTAGGTTTATAGAAAATTTAATTTCAATACTTCGAGTGTACAAATTTCAAGTAGTCGCTGGTATCGAAATGAAATGACCGTTTATTAAAAATTAATTTTTGCATTATTGACTATAATTATTAAACACATACGTAATTTTAAATAAAATATTATAACTCAGTTAATAAAAAAATTCTTGCTAAGAAAATATTATAAGAAAAATTATTTTTATATTTATCGCAACATTCAATTGACTAGCTTGTTAGTGCCATGTTGGTTACTTTCGAGTTGAATTCGAAAGAACCTGCGTCGTCAAGTTACAAGCTATTTTTGTTGCGTTTATGTGTGTTCACAGTGATATAGTTTATGATGGGATCTGCAGAAAAAGGCAATTAAAAGAAGACCACAGTGGTGTTTTAGCCGGTACGAGTCCCGCACTATTCCCATCCCTCTTCTAAGGAATGTTGGGTGAGTGCATTTGTTATCCAAATCTATACAGGGTGTTCGGCCACCCTTGAGAAAAATTTTAATGGAAGATTCTAGAGGCCAAAATGAGACGAAAATCAACAATACTAATTTGTTGATGGAGGCTTCGTTAAAAAGTTATTAACTACTGTTATTAAGTAGTGAATTTTTTTCTAGAAACTGGATAGGATTTCGAGGGTAGGTCTATTCACAAATAATGATTGTAATTGAACCCCACAACCGAAAATAATTTTTCCAGAACGATTTGAAATTTTTTAATTTCACCGAAAAATTACTGTACTTACTGAATTTTTTTCTCGAAAATGCGTAGGATTTGGGAGGTATGTGTAATGACCATATATCATTGTAATTGACCCCCGCAACCGAGAATAATTTTTCCAGAACGATTTGAAATTTTTGCATTTAATTGTTAATGACTTTTTAACGAAGCCTCAGTCAAGAAATTGATACTCTTGATTTTCGTCTTATTTTGGCCCCTAGAATCTCCCATTAAAATTTTTCCCAGGGATGGCCGAACACCTTGTATATGTACGTAGATAAAAAATTGTAACTTTATCTGCAATTGTAAAACTTTTAGACGATTAGGATTTAGACGTGTGGTTTCTAAGGTATTTAAACCGAATTCCGCCATTATTCTATTACGTATGAATCAGGAAATAGTATAATACTACTCTTAAGAAAAGAACCAACAACGTAGTTTCCGTAGTGTAGTGGTTATCACGTGTGCTTCACACGCACAAGGTCCCCGGTTCGATCCCGGGCGGAAACATTATCTTTTTACTTTCATCTTTTCCATTTATATTCTGTATTTAATAATACCTTTAAAACAACAATAGTCATTTTACATTTTGTACTTGGTACAAAGTACCCAGTAGAAATAATAATTAGCGTATTGTAATATTAATCGAGTACAACACCATCTAGTTGAGACAATTAGATGATATGTACATCATTTGTAGATCATTGCATTACTAACGGATAATGGCAAATCAATTAACTGTTTATATTTATGTCTATCAAAGAAAAATATGGATTCTAGGCTTGTATATCGAACCTATAAATTGAAATACAAACTTGGTAAAAGTCAGCAGTTTTCGAATTATCGTTTCGTTCAGAAAACGGTGATCTGGAATCTATGATCAAACTACTGAAATCGATAGTAAATATAAGAAAGTGTTTCTTCTCTTACATGATGCTGTACACAAGGGTAGCTATTATTTACAACTTTATACGATATTTAAAGAAAGTAATTCATAGTTGCTACTTTCCTTTGTGCATGTATGTACCAAATATTTGTCGATCTCGAATTATTTCTCAACAAACTTGGACGTTTTGCCCTAAATGGCAAAAATAATCATCGTCGCGTTAGAAGCAACCCATGTACATTTAAATTAATATACACAGGCATGTTATATACAAATATATTAATTTATTCACATAATTTTATAAAAATGAGTATCTAATACATTTATGTACATGACTTAACAAATTTTGTATAATTTAAGTACTCGTTATTCTCGATAATATATCACACCTCGTTAAATGTGATATTTATTTAATGTTAATCACCAAACATCATTAAACGGATATTTACAAACACATAAAAAATACGCGTGTTTTAATAAATTATGAAAAATATTATCAAAAGAAAAATTAGAATATTATCAACCGCACGATTATGAATTTTTTTCAAATACATATAAAAAGATCCAACAATCTACCTCGACGATATATGTATATTACATCACAAGTACAACTTATATACTCCACTAATAACCAAATAATAAATATATCACTGCATTCCCTATAATATATCAAATAAATTTTGATTGAGAAATATCCTTAAATTGTATTATTGAAACGAATTTTCTACAGAATTATATATGCCCGATTAAATTGATCAAACTTTAGTCTTCTTTGCATCCGTTTTCTTATGTTTTGCTCGTTTCTTCACTGTAGACGATTGTGGTTCCTGCGAAAAATTGTACTTCATAGCCAGTCGTTCTCTTATGCGCAAACCTCGGATTAATCTTTTCCAATTTCCATAAACTCTTTTCTCCACTTTTTCTCTGGCTCGTTTAGCCGCCACAACTTGTTCCGCTTCCCAAGCCTCTCGTAACGTGTCTTCGTATTCAGAGCAAACGATGTATCCTTCGATAGCAGGCACTGCGCCCATACATCCAAAATTAAAACCTACCACGGCTGGTGCACAATCAATATCGAGTTTTCGAGCGATACGGTTCAATCCTGGAACTATTATCGTCGTGTTATTACTGATAGTACAAAACACGATAATTTTTATCATTCCTTTTAAATGTAGATTAGAGTTTTATAAACACGTGAGGAACAGTAATTTTAGAAATACTTACGAGTTATGTGGACGGTACCCTTTGGAAGCATACATTCTTTAAACAAATCTACGTTTCCGTATTCATTTCGTGGAACAATACCATTTTTAGCTTCTGGAGGTACATATTCTGTAGTCTGCCATTCGCCGAACACTTCTAATGTTAAATTATTGATCTTCATTTTTGACAACTATTTCGATAAAATAATGTTTAATATTTGATTAGGGAATAAGTATGTAGAAATAGACGTATCGAGATATTATTACCTTGTCGTACTTTGGACGAGCTTTGACGACTTTGTAAGGTTCTTGATTCGGTTTCACGACTCTAGCCTTTTTCAGCCACGTTTCTCTCGAGCAGAGTGTGTGCACACAGTGACGAGAGTAAATAGCTTCGCCTGTAGAAGTATATCCCAACGGTACGCAGTCGGATGGGTATAATGCTTCAAATTTAAGTAAATGCCTTGCAATGACATACAATGGATGTCCTTTACATTCACTGATTGTTTTAGGTAATGGTTGTTCTAATTCTCTGCAACATAAAAACGAAATATTAGAATAAGAAAATCGAGTTTCTGGTAAGTGAAAATCTTTGGCTGAAAATATACTTTTGCAAAAACATCTGATCTTCGGCTTTTGAGATAGCTGTATCTCTTTCCTTCCAGTGAGACAATGTTTGAAGCCACCATTTTTCGTCGATACGTTGCTTGCGCGTAACCGAGAGCCAGTGCGGACAATAACGTTTGGTTACATCCTTCATCAAACTCTCAGAATTCCAAGCAATTACATATAATACAGGCTTTTTTGCTTTTCTCTGCAAAGAAGTATTACATGGTATACATTACTACTCTATGGAATAAATAGCTTTGGAAATATAATGTAATTTCTCAGATCACTTACATATACTTCAGCCACACAATGAATTTTTTCATCCATTATGCTCACACAGATCCAGCTTTCTTCTGATTCTAGATATACTTCTACCCAGATATCTTGTGATTTCTTTTTTTTATTCAATTCCTCGTCTTCACTGTCAGAAGATAATAATTTTCTATTTATCGTTTTACTAGTCTTAGAACTTTGTGCTATTTCTTTTTTAGTATCAATGAACTTCTCTTTCAAAACACGTTTCATTTTAGGGTAGAATTCTGCCTCAGAATCTGTAGAATCTTCTTCTATATAATATTTTGACCATTCATCATCATTCTTTGAACTCGAATTTGTAATTTCTTTTGCTTTATCATTTTTAGAGATATTAACTTTATGAGATTTCAGCTGACAAACATTAGATCCACATTTTTCTTTCTCTACAACTTTAGACTCAGTTTTCTTTTCTATGCTTTGGGTCTTAGAATCTTTGTTATTATCAGATTTCCTTTTCTTTGTGTTGCTTTGCGATTCTGAACAAAAAACTTGTGCTGCTCTCTTTTTAGCATCTAATTTAGCAATTTTCTCTGCTTCTGGACTATTTTTAACTGCTGTTTTTGTGTCAGAAGTGTCCTTTTGATTTAACTTTGAAGCGGTTTTACCTTTACGTGTACGAGACTTACTTTTTGGCTTATCTTGTTGCTTCTTTGTATCAATTTTAAATAATGGGTCATCGTTAAACACTCTATGAGGCGGACAAAGCGATACAACTAAACGACAATTTAATCCTAGAGCTCTCATTGCAGCAACATATAATAATACTAACTCTCTATAATCGGAAATTTTCTTTTCTTGTAATACTTTTAACAAACTTTCTGTATTTATGTGCTTATCGCTATTATTCTCAACAAATTCGAATGTAAATATATGCTTAAACCATTTTGTAAATTTTTCTAAATAGACAAGATCTATTCTCTTCTTTGGATAATTGTTCATTGTGATTAATGACAATGTGGTTGACATAACTTCAGGCTGATTTACCTGTTGATTCAAATAAAATCCATATGCTATCCAACAGAGTAATCCTACCTTCTCTACTAATATTTGATTAGCTCTTAATCGTCTTCGTAAAAGGGACTTTAAATCTTGGTTTCCTTTTTTCTTTTTATTCACTATTGAACTTGTACCAGGAAGTGTAATTTTAATGCCATCCTTTGGAATAATATACTCTGTAGTGTCTACAGTATCTTCTTCTTCCTTTACAATTGTACTCTTAGTATGTCTTGTATGTTGCAAACTCTTATTACTCTCTCCTCGAAGCAGGAGTTCATTTATTTCATTAGATGTCGAAGCATCTTCCGCTTTTGTTTTTAATTCCTGTACTTTTTCTTCTTTCTTTTGCGATACAGAACAGTTTGAAGACGACTGTTCATTTCTGACATTTTCATCGATGTTCCCGAGATTTTGCGAACTTTCCAAGTTCTTTAAAACTTGAGTAAACAATTCGATGTTACTCGATTCATTGACATCTTCTAGATCCTCGTCATCGGTAACATCATCCTCGGTGTCGCTTTTAAGCAAAGCACCGCGAACCTTCGGCTTCTTTTCTGCGAAAAAGCTAGAGTCTAGATTAATTTTCTGTTTCACCACAAATTCATTGCTGCTATCAGAACTGTCGTCCTCCGATAAACCACTCATTTTACAAACTTCAAAGAAATGTAACCACAAATTTTCTTACTATTATCGTTTAGTTTTCAATTGCATCACATGTCGACATTAACGTGTTTCTATGTTTTAAAATTATAGAAAGATCGGAGACATCATCTCATTTAGAGCATAACACTTGACCAGTGTTGTACTAATGCAAATTCACTAATGCAAGGGACGTTTTAAATACTAAATAAATTATGATATTAGGTCAATGTTTCATAACAGAATAATTAAAAGAAACAGAAAAGACGTTAAAGCCCCCGTAAATTTCTGTAGGTAATGACAAAGAGTAATGTTACTCTGAGATAGAGACTTTTTGATATGGTTCGTATTATTAGTGCCTAGTATTTTTCTTATAAACGAATGAGTGTATAAAGAAAAATGAAAAAAGGAAAAGTATGATTACTTTTCATATGAAATACGATGGCTGGGAGTTAATGTGTTTATGTTTATAAGTTGCAATAAGCAGTCATTCGATTTAACACTCAACACTCATGCTTGTTAGTTACTTGCATTTTAAATGTAAGCACGCTACAGTGTAATATACATATATAATATAATTTAATAACATGCTTTAGTGCTTTTCTTTAAAGAAAGCAGCATTATTTATGCTGTTTTCTTTCAAATATAACGTAGTTCGTTATTATTTTTATTTCGACACAATTTCATCAGATGGCGTTTATGCCACACGACTGTCACTCTTGACTATGCATAAGCCAAGACGTTTCTTCCAAACGTTCGTAGTGATTTGAAAAGCGGTTGTTCACTTTCATTTTGGATGTTCTCGGGAGCTGTTGAGAGGTAAGTGAGATTTATAATTCTCGTAATCCGTTTCTATCCGCGTGCATTATTAGATAAAATATAAAAGAACAATATTTTCTCAATTAGTTATCCCGTGACATACTATTTATGAATATATTTTTTCTTAATTTGTTGAAATACACTTTAAATTTATGCTTTAAATGATGACACAAATAGTCTCGTTCGTATGATACATTTCATGATTATGATTCTAAATGTAATTCTGAATAAACGTTGGAATTCAAATGCTCCTCGTATTTAGTTTCTTGATTATTCGAAATTTGATTTTTTTGTTTCTCCAGGCATTAAAATAGATTAATCTATCGAAACGTGCTTTGGAACGCGTCGGTGCGACGAGCGTTTGATTCAGTTTGATTGCGATTTTTCTAGTGAGTACCATTCTTTTATTATACATTTGAAATATCTTGTTTGCAATTTTACATAAAAATATCTTTGTTGCGTTACATCTTTAGTTTTTTTTTAAATTTTTTATCGAGGTCGCTTACACGTGATTCGCATTTTAAATATTATTACTTTATATTATATTGTAGAAGTTTAATACAAATAGGCTGCATTTCTCATTTCCTAAGATTTTACAATAAAAATATTGTTATATTTTGTTGACCTTCTAAAAGAATATTTGTTCATATTTGCTATGATGTTATGTTACTGCCCCAGTCTGACTAGAATATGACTGATTCAGTTATTCTGACATAAATTTTGTAAAATCATAATTAATATTTCAAATATACCTGTAGTTAACTAGTATGTGTCTATTTGTAGGAAAGTATGAATAACTTTGAGCGACAATACTATGAAACAAGTTGGTTTGCTCCTAGTAATACAGGTATGCATTTACTTTAATTTATTTTCCAATAAAGTTATAGCTACATAAATGTTTGTTGCTTAAGAAATAATATATATAACTGTAGTAAAAATAATAAGATTTTTATGGTTATTTCATGCTAAACAAGATTATTTCTGAAGTAATATTTTGGATTTTGTTGAAATTTGGATAAGTTTTAATTTTTAAAATCGTATTAACATTTTTTTAATTAATCATAACTGTTGAAATGGCAACTGGACCAGAATAAACCTTCATTGTTTATTACATAAAAATTTGCTGGTAGTTCATTATTTAATAAATCTACTTTGTAGATTCCAAACATCTATGAACCAGACCTGTATAAAAATATTTCATAGACATCTGGAAACTATGGTACATTCAAATATTAATGAAATCCAAATTGTTGTAAAAATGTCTGATTATATTACTTTAAAAAGACTTTAAAATCAATATTTGTAATTAAACATGATGAATAATATACACCACCTCAGTCAATCAGAAGTATTATGTAGAAAGTGTGACCTGAACTTTTTAAATATATTATAAATATTGCTTTTAAATCTATAATTTTGATCAACATAGGTCTTCTATTGTTTCAGGAGAAAATAGTGAAAATGGTTAAATGCATAACAACATGAACTGGAATGAAAAATAACTGCAATCATGATTCTAAAATTGATCAGAAAGAAAATAACTCAGAAATATGACTTGAAATTTAAAGTAGTACAGAACTGAAAAGGTAATGCAATTTAAATATCTTTATTGTGTATAAAAAGTTTATTGAAGGTAGTTCATGATGAACCATGTTTAGTTATCCCTGTCTTACCATATATAAGTGGTGATATTATTTTACTGATATATATGTGATTTGCCAAAAAAATATTGAACAATATATTTCGTGATAACGAACAAAATTTGTTATTACAGTGGTTGAATAAGTTTATGAATGTAATCAATTTCGATGATCCGCTATATGCAAAAAAGAACGTAAGTAATATTTTTTAGTTTAAGAAAAGAGTAAGTAATATTTTTTCATGATGATTCTATTATACATGACAAGCATATGTCTGAGTAAATTTTGATGCAATTTATTATCTGATTAAATATTGAGAGGTTCAACTCAAATATAAAATAGTGTTTGTAGTTTAAAAAGTTAATAGTAACTTTTTCTTACAGATTTATATGTACTCCCGTTTTGAAATCAAGTAAGTATATGAAAATAATACAATTCAGTAATTTCATTGTAAACTATGATGTTACGCAAAAAAATATACGCTAATATGACCTTATTACTGTGATTTCTACTTGCCCTCACTGAGTTTTAAACTAAATAAATTATTTGCCTAATTAATATAAATTGTGCTAAAGGCGTTTCATTTCTGTTTTTTTTTTTGCAGATATTTTACAGTTATGCAAAAAATGCAGCATACAACGGAAAACATTTACAATGAAAAGGTACAGTATTCTTTAGTTTTGAAAATAAAAAAAACTACTTGAAATAAAAAAGTCACTAATGATGTTATGTAATATACGCAATGAAATTCAATGATAATAAATTTTTCCTGAAATGAAAATGTAATTATTTTTTTATTCGTGTAGTTTTATAATGTAATTTATTATTAATATTCATTTCAGTTGCGCTAAAAAAAATAAGATGCAAAGTGATTGTAATCATCTTTGAGGAATTGAATTCTGTTTGGTGAAAGATTTGTGGTACATTCAAACAGTACTAAAAGGTTTAATAAACTTTATTGGACTAGATGCTGTTACGTGATTAAAATATAATACGAAATTGTGCTAATGCAAACAAGTTTAAACAGATGTTTAAAAAGTATATATGTAAATGAAACTTAAAATATTTATCATACTTCAACAATGTATCTTCCACAGAATATTTACATGCTAATAAAAATATAATTGAAGTATTAATTCTCCTGTGGATACTATCCTTACCGTACAAGTGCAATTGTAACAAAAAAAAAACTCCCACAAGTTCACAAAATCCGTGAAAAATAATTGTTACTATTCAAATGCTTGTGATCTAATATCTTTATTCGGTACTTCGGTGAAAAATCCTATTGCATTTAAAGTTACAATGTATACTGACAATGATCATTAAACTCTGAATTCTAAAAAAGTGTCGTATCATTTAGGTTTATTTAATGCTCGCGCTGATATGGATATTTTCTTGTTGCACGCCAGGTTCTTAGGAACTTCGTTCAATCCTTGTGCCTAACACTCTGATCTAAAATTCTAGATGAAATTTGTTCTTCGTTTATGCAACAAGCTTCGAAGAGCACTTGCATGTCTCTTAAATTCGTTAAGGAACAGATTCACCATTGGTCGTACAAGGTTGAATATTTGCTATCTTGCCGATCTTGAAATAGATCAGCGAAGAAGTTAATCGTAAGAATTCATAAGCACTTGTTATGACAAGCTTTCAGCACCTTTCTTGTTTCAATGTGAATTACGGCACTTGTGATAATCTCGGTATCTGTGCAGAGACGAGCTAACACCGTTCTACACAGTGATATTTATATTGAGACTATAGATCCACAGTAGGTTGTGCTGGATGTCACAACTGCAATTGGTAATCCACTAGGGGATCGAATTCCTTTTGATGCGTGGAATTCGATGCCATAACGTAGCCCCATAGACGCATGGCCGTTGAACAGACCCTTTGTATTTCGTCGACCTCCTCAAAATCGAGATCGCTTCGCCAGTGGAAGGGGGCCACTTTCGAATTGCGGAAGGTACTTGAAACACCACCAACATCGTTCTTTGTATGAGTATCCAAAAATCTTTTTACATTTAAATGAAAGTCCAAACCGTAAAAATTGTAGAGCTCTTTCACGTGTCTGTAGGGATCTACAGATAAGTCTTCGTAACGTACTACCCTGTTGGAAATAAATTTTAAAATAAATTGCAATATTCGCATACATAAAACGATTTGTGCGTTACATTGTCCATCACGAATTTTGGCTATTTAGCACAATATCGATTGCAAAACAACAGCATACCTGAAAGTGCGTGGATATTTCTTAATAAGTCGTACGGCAGCACTAAAGTCTGAAACCATGTCTGCACATACTAATGCTGGATCCGAGCAATCAGGTTTAGTAGGGCACCACTCCCGATGTTTCCTCGATTGCAAAATTCCTCTTGGATCGCGAATTAATAGAACTAATCGTATACCTAAACTGAAGTATACGATGCATGAAATATGTATATTTCTTTACGGGGCGTGTAACGATGAAGGTTTAAATTAAAAAAAAAAAGAAAAGAAAAGAAACTATTCTTACTCTTCTTGTTCTAAAAGTTTTTCAGCTGCACGTAGCCTTAAACGAACGATTTTCATCGATTGAAACGGAAATAATTTACAAAATGTGGAAACAAAACGTGGATCCCAACAAATTCTCTTGTGTGCTTGACACTGTCTCCATAAATGTGTGTTGTGATTGAAGACCCAAGGATGCGTTTTACCGTATTCCAAATATCGATCTGAAAAATTGAGAAATAATAAATTTTACTGAACATTTTGAGCTCATATGATTTTTGGGAATAGAAGTTTACCAAGGTTATTAAAATCGCATCTTAGCAAAGATTCGAGATTTCTAAGAGCTTCGTCAGCGAGCGGAGGCCCCCTAATTTGCACAATTCCAAAGTCGAGTAAAGGTTCGTAGTGATAAAAATTTGCTGGATGTGCGTTTATGACATCGCCAAGAAACGTGCTTCCACTTCGCCAACTTGTCAGAATCACACTTCTCATTGGTCTTCCTCCTTTCTCCATTACTAAATCCTCCAATTTGCTGTATACATTATTATATAAATATCTCAAAAATCATGTGCATGCACACATAGCTAGTTTCAGAATGAAACATACCTAATATTAACACCATATTTTCCATTAGGATATTTGTAGTCTTCCATTTCCCTTTCGATTGCTTTTCTTTGTTGATGCACAACCTCCTGTATTTCAGAAAGTGTCACATTTTCTATGGATCCCCTAAAGTATGCCTGTAAAGGATATGCGTAATTTGTACTTAGAAGTTAGTTCTTTTATAATTTAAATTTACAATAGAAGCAAAAGCAGTAGCAAATAGTACGATTCGTTATATTGTCTATTCCCATTGCCATATTAAACGTATTAAGAGTTAATTGTTTTATTAGAAACGAAGATGTTTAACAGCAAATACTCACCTATTGCACATTTTTATTTATAAATATTAGAATTTCATTAATACGTATGAGTCATTTCACGACATATTTATCACGTTTTGCAATTAATGTCGAGGATTCCATTGAAATTGAAATATGATCATGTAAACCTAGAGAAAGAAGGGGGGAGATATGTTAAGTCGTCGTTTCGCTGATTTCGGAATTACTTGAGAAATGTAGTTTTCTGAATTTTGCAACTTTTGCTATTTTAAGTAAAAACGGGTTGTATAAACGAATATTAGTTTCAGAGATAATATTCATTTGTACAGTCCGTTTATTACTTAAACAAATTCGATATCAGCAAAACAATGAATCAAACTTCTCCCTTTCTAATTTTACACGAATTGTATGAATTTCAATTTCAACAAAATTCTTGACACCTACTACAAAAAGTGGATTATTTACCATCAAAAATTTCATATGTTAAACAATACTGATTAATTTATATTAATGGGGGAAAAAAATGAATTTTGCCCTTTGTTACGAACTATATTAAACACTTTCAAAGACTTATTTTAAAGATTTAATTAGATTTTTTATAATTTTTATTTTATCAATTTAGAATGACAAAAATACATAAATCTATGCATACATGCACGTGTGCTTACCGTTACTGGTTCCTGAATTTTGATGATGCGGGACCTTATCTCAACATCCTATATCGAAGAAAATATTTATATTTTAGCATTCTGATTGTGCATATTACACTGTGAACATGAAAATGCTGTTGACGTAACCAGGATAATATCTTTCTCCCTCTTTCTCTATGTAGGTGGTAAATTAACGTTAAAAAAAAGTGCAACAGTGCAACTCAAGTTATACATATATGTATTAATTGGTTTTATGTACATTACAAAAAATATAAACTGGCAACAGAAATTTAATTGTGGATGACGTGCAGGACGTAAAAATTAAGTAACATACATATAAAGCTTTGTTATACATACGCATACGTATCTTTTTATTATTACCACTTTCCTATGTAAAGAGTGTCCCTTAACACTTTGACTGCCACGTCACCCATATATGGGTGACAGAACTTTTAACAGTAGAACTATAACAACGAATTCTCAAGTTGAAATGTTAAAGAAAATAAATTTTAATAGGCTTCGTAAATTTTAATGAGGTTTTTAATGAGGTAAAATGAAAGTTTTGGTCTCGTAAACAATTTCAGGATTTTAAACTGGCAGTTAACGTGTTAAAGTTATGTATAAACAGGCACTAGGCAGTTGCTTATAAAAAAAATATAGAATAATGTTTTTTCGTTCAAGATTTTATTTTCGAGAAAATCGAGTTTGAATATTCATTTCGTACATATGTTGATATATGGTAGAATTTTGTTTGTAAACGATGTTTACAGAATTTTTATAAACATTGTTTATAAACACGATTAGTGTTATAAATCGTTCGACGAACAATATCTTAACCGACAATACATATATACAAAGTGTATTTTCAATCTCGATTTTCTCGAAAAGCTCGGAACGAAAACGTGTTATTTTATAACTTTTTCGTACTTTTTCTATAAGGAATCGCCCAATGTTTGCTTGTATATAACTTTTATGAACAACCTATATAATCACCTAACATTTTTATTAACTTAAGGTAACTAAAATTGGACAATTTACAATAATTATGCAATATTAAACATTTACAAAATATTTGTTAATTTTTTGTATGATACAAGAGCAATGCTTTTAGTTAATAATAAATTACCCCAGTAATTCTTCAACATTAAGCAGGATATTTCCAAAGTTTGCCAATAATCGTTGTCTCTAATGCTGCGTGAAAGAAAAAGGGGAAAGGAAATGTGGAAACAGGGAGAAAGAGAGCTGGCGACTCTTTGTATGGTTCAAAAAGTTCATTATTAGCGTACAAGTGGAAAAAGTTAGGTGCAAAAGTTAGACTTTACCATCAGAAAGAGCGTGTTTGGCGTGACTCAATTTAGAGCAATCCCCACCTCCGATTTTTTACTGACCGAAATCACCGGCTGCAGTCGATGCTCGAGATAGCTGCTGTAGCGTTGATTAAATGCTAAGAAGAAGATGCAAAGGGACGCCAGGCCTATCAGACCATAGAAGCTCAGCCGTTTTGACATCCTTGGTCCTGTAAAAAAAGTATAGTACTACATTATCAATATTAAAATATGTAGTATAATTGTAAATAATGTTTACTGACTTTATATCATTCTCCAATTTAATGTCTATAAGGCAATAATATAACATTGAAACTATACATTCAAAGTATAATGGAATACTACCAGGCAAAGCTTACAATGGTATCAGTTGCTCTGAAGAAAGTCACATTAAAAGAATCGTGTTTTTTACATGATAAATGATAAGCAGATCTTAGTACTATCTATTATCAATATTATCATCAAACTTAAATCACGTAAAAAGACATTTCCATAAAAGTCCCGTTTTTAATCTTTGTGAAATGCAATAACAATGACAGGACAATGTTTTTAATTCTGGTATAGAATTGAATTGGCTGATATGGAACAACTCTTAATAAATCATGGTGCTGAAAAGAACGTTAGTCATTTGAATGATTTACCGCACAGTTAACGGATGGACATCGAAGGAATTTCGATGAAAACGATCGAAATGAAAACATTTTAAATTTATCTTACCTCAGGATCGAGCAGTTCGTTGCATTTGGAGGTTTCCAGTTAAATTGTACACAGGTTGTTTCCGTGGCCGAAGATGATCTTACATTTTTCTTGACATTTTAAAGTGACAACGGGAAGTATACAACCAACGTGCAGCGTTCATCATGGCCCACTGACGCAGAGAAGCACGTATTGCGGTTAAGGCGACTACATGAGCCCTGTGTTTACGTCAGTTTATGTGCATAAGCGCGTACAATCCATTGCGTATTCAATCATCAAGGCACGAGCACGGCACTCAAAAGCCGAAAGATATTCGATTCAGTGGCTAACAGTCGACACTGGTCGCTTGTGATTAAATTACGAAAGGTGTCAACCGGTCAAGACCGAAATCCTTGCGAACAACAACCTCACGTTAGGTCGGCAAATCCTTATCGAGTGAAGGTTTATGATTATTTGATCGCGTTGCAGAGTTTAATTCGATGCGGCTTGCCGCAAGTTTTCAAACAAATCGATCGCCGCAATGGGCGAAATGGTGGGTAAGAATCTTCTATCAAGTAGTATATCAAATTTTTTTTGGACTTTGTCCAAGAACGGTAGGCGTAACAGGACGTTCAAGATCCTGGATGAATGTATCATTATCGAGCTATGCGTTAGTTTGTCATGTCGTTTTAAACGCACACATTTAATCCAGATAAAGTTGTTTTGATTAAAGAAATTAGTCTGCCTAGTCTTTGATCCTAAAAGTAATATTTACAATGATAACTGGTGACTGGAAGTTCGATAGGTCTAGAAACTGTAAACATCGTAGGAGAAAAATAAATTTATTTGTGAATAAAAATTGAGTAAAAAATAGAACAGAATATAGCTTTTTACGAAAGTTAAAAGGTTTATGGTAAATTATTAATTACGAGTTATACAGGGTGTTTGGCCACCCGTGGGGAAAATTTTAATGGGAAATTCTAGAGGCAAAAATAAGACGAAAATCAAGAATAGCAATTTGTTGATCGAGGCTTCGTTAAAAAGTTATTAATGTTTAAAGTTCCGCCTGTAGAATGGCAATCTGCGTACAGCTATATTCGCGCGGAAGGTTGTAACAGACCAGTGCTAGTGGTTTTCACGCAGCATGACAAATTCTACTTGCCAATGTTATTGACAGCCTTAGATTTTTGTGTCCACTCATGGGAACGCGAACACCTTACGTTGAATAAGATTCAACCTGACCTATAAAAATTCAGAATGGCATATCAAAACTCGCCCGACGAGAAAGAGTGAATGCTACTTCTAATACACAATGTTGTCCGCGAGTGGCCACAAATAATCCTTTCAACCACGATTGTTCCGAGTTACTTACGAATAGAACTGTTATTAATTTTTTAAATATACCTAAATTTAAAAAATGTAGAAAGGAATCTTAGGATAAACGAAATTTTCGTATCGATTTGCGTTCACGTCGATACATATTAATTAACTATCTTACTGTCCGACTCTTACTATTCGTATATACACTACACACTACATACAAACAAGACAATACAGGTGTTTTCCTACACCTTGAACTATGATCCAAACTTAATCTTAGCTTTTTTAAAAAATGTTATATCTAATCGTCCTTTGCGATATCACATCGAATACCTCGTCTGTGGAAATATATCGCAACGCCAAATGTTTTTTGCCGATGGTCGATACAAGTAAAATTACCGGCGTCGCGATCACAGACGAGATATATGAATAGACGTTTCACGTAATGTAATTTTTCGGCCGGAGTTTCTGGGGTCCCGGGACCCCATTACCATTTTCGTGTCACTCGCTACGTTATAAACAGATTCAGAAATTAACACAAGAGGAAGTGAGACAGAAAATAAAATTACATAAATTTTATTATTTTTTAACGGAATTAAAGCTGTAGGGTCCATCATTGGACATTAATCGATTAATTTCATTGGAGAAATCAATCGATTAAGAGTATTTAAAAATTTCAAGATTATTAAAATTCCTAAGGATGTATTTCATTGATACGTACACCGCAAATTCTCTATTTTTTATTTTAAATTGTAATACATCATTTATTAAAAAAATAACTCTGCAGAAACGTATTTGCGACTCGAAATCAGTTTAATCAGACTGTGCATCGGGGCCCCGGAAACTCCTCATTCCTCGCTTTCGCACACTATGCTCAATTGCGTGTACGTGAGCTCGTTGAGTTTCGGAAGAGCCGAGAAGAACAGGCTGATACTCGCTTTCCTTCTCGCTCTTGCATCGCTGACGTCGTTTACATTTCTCGAAAGCAAGCCTGGCATCGCCAACCGTTCGAATCGTCAGTAAACGACAAAAGCCATCGTGACTGACAGACCTTACATTTCTCGAAATCGGACCTGGGCGCTTTTTGAAGATTCATTGACTTTCCATACGAAGCGACCATGCGTTATATGTATACATATACATGTTATACATGCTAGGAACTATAAGTTGTATAACTTTTATCGTATATCTACTCTCTAATAACATGGGAAAATTTTAAAATATAAAAAAATGTAAGAATACTGTAGAATTTTTGGAATGGAGAATTATTGAAAGAAAATGAGGTAATTATTTAGAAAAGGCCGGGTCTCACCGATTTCGATGATTTTTGAATATGTTGTAGAAATCAACATTTTGAGCAACTTTTTCCTATACATATAACCGCCGCTCGGCCTTAGTTTCCGAGATTTTTCTTCAAAAAGATCGCTACTACTACAATGAATTCTGTCTATATGTACATATCTGTGGCTCTGCATTGCATCAGTCCACGATCGTTGCTTTTTTCTCTTGTTTGTATTAGTCGGCATGACAACCGACGACAAATAATGTATAATGTGTCGAGCTAAATCTAGTTCTGCATTGTTGTCAAAGGTTCGAATATTCTGAAGTATGGAACTCGCCAAATACATTATGTAGGCTATTTAGGTGAATTCTTCTTCCGTCGACAATATCATGCTAATGATCTAATAATTAAATTTGTCGAAATAATGGCTGAAATCTTTCCCACTTCTGATAATATCAATAAAGAAAATTGAAATAGAAAATGAATGCGTGGCCGCCGTTAGGCGGCCGGCTACACAAATCGAGTTTTTAAGCACAGCTGTTATACGCATTCATTGCCGGCCGCCTCGATGTATCTATAGAAACAATAAACAATCGGCGAGTCGTATACATACTGCAGATTTTTTGTCAACAATCGGCGAGTCGTATATGTATATATAACAGGCACGTAAGTGTAGATAGAATTCATTGTAGTAACAGCGATATTTGTGATATTATATGGTACAACTTTGGAACCAAGTAAGGCATTGTGTTGAAATTTGGTTTATATGTATTTATGGACATTGAAGAACACATATTTACAATACAAAATAAAAATTTATTTCTCATAATTTTCTATGGTATGGTAAATTCTGAAACAATTCCCAATATACATAGCAGGTTGATTTATACATGTTTCACAATAAAATGTTGTTTGACGTCTTTCTCCTGGTGTTTTCCTGTCGGAACAAATAATGCAGTCCCGGTTTCTTTGGCCTACATTTGGAATATGTAGCTTATTATTCATTCTATTGTCCGACAAAGAACGTTAATTTATTTAGATTATAACGAAGATAGCAATAGGAATGGTTCGACTTTGAATGAAGTTTCGATTTTACGTTTATAGTTTTTTACGTTTACGTTTTATGTTCTTTATGTTAAATAATTTTAGTAAACATTAAATAATATAGTTTATATAGTTACGTTTATTGTCCACGTGTTTGAATCCGACCATACGCCTCTGACCATCCTCGACAATCCTTCCACTTCCAACGTAAAAACGGCTGATATATTTCTCATTTTAATAGAATATTTCCCATTTTAATAGGAAAGTACAGGAAAACATGTGTTTCTTAAAAAATTGCGGTGAAATCAGTTCATTCTCCTTAATCACTAATAAACTTTCATGTCCCCTCAGAGGGGACAACCGAGTGCAAAGGGTTAAAATATGTTCATAAAATATTATCGTTTTAAAACGTGTATTTCCGTAAAAACAAATTTTTGTAATTTTTTCTTCATTATGATATATTGCTTATACATTGTATATGCCTACACAGGTCGGAAAGTCAAAAATGCCTAGGCAGTCGAGAATCTCGGCTCGAGAATATGCGAGATCGAATTTCAGCTGTGTTGAGAGCAAGAAGGATAGACTGACATTCGCCGCCTTTCTCGAATCTACGAAGCTATACGAAACGCCAGAACTCATATACAAGGTGGTTGGCATTAGTGTGTGTGAGTGGTGGGGCAGTTCCCTTTCGGCACGGGTCTGCCGTCTGATAATACTCCACTGTCTTTTCCAATCCCTCCCATAATCAACTCACATGTATTTACGTACGCACTCAGCTGGCTGCCCATCAATACTAATTCAGTGCCTAGTTTCTCAACTAACCGCCATCCATGAGAAGAGGCCGCTAAAATCAGCTCCGAATTTTCAGGTCGGTATGGCAGTCAGATTCGGCCGCGAAAGTCCATAAGGTGAAAGGTCTATTCATACATCTCGTCTGTGGTCGCGATAACGTCTTCGGTATTACCGACAGTGCGACAAGTTTGTCAGATGTCGCCACTAATTGCTATGACGCGTAACCACAGACGAGGTATACGAGTAACTAAAAATATTTAAAAAAAAAGAGTAGAAAGGTAAAAAGCCGAAACTATGCGTTTCGTTCGTAGTATGTTGTTCGGACTTTTCGGTAGGGGTTCGAATTCAGTGATAATATTTAAACGCGAAAGAGTTTCAGTTTCGAAGGGAGTGAGGTTTGGGAATGGACAGCTGTTCGTAGCCCTCTGGTGGTTGGTTCTGGAGGGGTCGTAACGGCGTGCGTGCCTATGGCGTTGATGGGCCCAGCGAACCAGTCGGATGCTGTTGCTCGAGCAGCGCAGTTAAGTTGAGTCGGAGGAAGGTGATATTTCGGAGCACGCTCTCTGGCCCCTTTCTCTTTGGCACGATGTCACGCTCTTAACTCGAGATTTTTGAGTCGCATCGTTAGCAACGGACCGTGACACGCGCGTATGACCCGTCCGTATCCGTCTACCTCTACATGGTTTTGTGTCTCTCCCTCACGGAGCGGGTTGAAAACTCGGCAGCTTTGCGGGGTATATTCTCGAAGTGGTGGAGAGACCTCGTGAGCAGCGGGTCGTGCGATAGAATATACGCGAATTCGAACGAGTATCGTTGCACGGCCAAAAAACGTCCACCGGTGAAAGAGACGTGGAACTCGAGCGTTCGTTGTCGCGATGCACGTTGTCTCGTGGTTTTTGTGACTGGACGTGACCGGGATATTTCGTGGTGCGTGTGCAGTGGAAGCTGCGAAGGACTGATCAAGGCGAAAGGGTCGAAAAATCAAGTACGACATTTTTCTGGAATCCAGAACCACGGAGATGTCACGCTGAAGCGACTTAAGGTAAGTTCGTTGTGTTCGTGTTCGGTTTCTGGACGTTTTCGTGGTGTGTCGGTGCGACACCAGTTCCACCGCTTTTTTTTCGACGATGTTTTCGCGAAAATCACTTCCCAGGTCATTGTTTATGCCGGTGGAAGAGTAAGTGTCCTATAAAATTTCGATTTAGCGAATTAATTGGGAGATGGGGTTGTCCTTAAAATAGTTCCTGTACGAAAAGCAAAAGTTCGTCGAACATCGGAGTAATTTAGTCTATGTACGGGCACAGTACGCATCAGGAATTAGGAAACGCATAAAAATAAGGTGGTCGCCAAATTGAATACTAATCGCTTGCAAACGAGAGGAAAATTTATTATTTGAACACGTATTATTATTCTTACGACGGAACAACCGCCACCGTAAAAATTCACGTAGGCCGTCTGGGGTTAGGTCTGCGTTAATAGCATTATTTTCAATTGATTGTCGATTTTTGCGTAGCGAAATACATCGATCATTAAAGAATTTGTAAAACGAAGTTTAACCTATGTCGATCGTAACGAAGTATAAATTTATTTCATTCGAAAGAGGAATGATTTAGTTCGTCGTCCTTCGTGTTTATTTTAATATACACTAGTGAGACATTGACACCACTCGAAGAGATGCTAGGTCGAGACAACAGTCTTTAAGAAATTATTCAATTTTAAGCATACGATTCGGTGTAGTACCGACATTCATTGAATCCGAAATCCGTTAAGCCGAGCATTTACTGCATTAACTTACGCATTCTTCACGCATCGAAGCGGAATATATTTACCAATTTCTATTAGCAACTTTTCTTTCTCGAGATTTTAATTACAGAAAGCGTCCTGCTTTTGCAAAATTCTTTAGCATAAACAACTAATGGAACCCTTTAAGTAAGAGAGACTTTTTGTCTTTTTTTTTGGAAGCAAGAACTTTCGACTAGAAATTTCGGGAACATTTTTCGAATACTTAATTCTTCGTTCGTTATTTATCTATTGTGATCGTTCGAATAGTACATATGTACAGATCAAATTCACCTTGTGGGTGACTCAAAAGCGAAATAATATAATGTCATTTTGTCGCGTTTTGTAATTTTATGCATATTTAGCCATCTAACACTTAAAAGACGACCGATTGACACATTATTGTTAAATAAGTGTTTTATGTTACTTTTATGTCATTTTATTTGTATTGCATTGGCTTAAGAAGGAATTTGTAGGAAACATTGATTTACAAAAGCGTAAATTTAGTTTGCACTAAGGTGAATATGATTTGCAAAAGGATTAATTTGGGAAGCAAAAACTGTAATGCTGGACAGTTGTGAGTATTAGGTAGTCGAGATTTGACGGAGTAATTAAAATTGTAACGTGAATGGTCGATCACGACGACATCTTGTATAATTCAATCCTATTAACGTTTGATTTCGGCGAACGTAGGATAGAGGACCGATTTACTGTCATCCAAAATAGTTTTACTACAAATACCGAATGAATCTTACAAATTTATGCGTTCGAAAAATCTAACATACCTTTAAAAATATAATTAATATGATCAAAAGCCTTCTATCTGATCTACAATTTTAGCAGATTACTGTTGGAAAAATAAACGTAAACGGCACTAAACAGATTCAAGCGTATACAAACGTAGTGCTTTCGATTTCATTATTTTAGATTGAGGTTAACCGAGTCAAAAAATCGAACACTTCGTAGGTATAACATTCGTTTAAGCCTATTATTTATTACCGCCAATCACGTTTGCGTGTAAGATTATTTCGCTGATTCTTCAGTGAACTACAAATACAGGGTGTTCGGCCACCCCTGGAAAAAATTTTAATGGGAAATTCTAGAGGCCGAAATAAAACGAAAATCAAGCATACTAATTTGTTGATGGAGCCTTCGTTAAAAAGTTATTAACGTTTAAAGTACCGTCCGTGCTGAATTTTTTTCTCGAAAATGCGCAGGATTTCGGGGGTATGTTTATTTATCAAAACTGATTATAATTGACCTCCGCAACCGAAAATAATTTTTCCAGAACGATTTGAAATTTTTTTTTTCGTCGAAAAATTTCAGACCTTCTCGAATTTTTGTCTCGAAAATGAGCAGGATTTCGGGGGTATGTCTATTCATAAAAAATAATTGTAATTGATCCCTGCATCCGAAAATAATTTTTTTTAGAATGATTTGAATTTTCTTAATTTAATTTTTTAATAACTTTTTAACAATGCCTCAGTCAAGAAATTGATATCTTGATTTTCGTCTTATTTTGGCCCCTAGAATCTCTAATTAAAACTTTTCCCAGGGTTGGCCGAATACCCTGTATATATTATTATTATTATTACCCGACATTTTCACTCGAGCGAGATGAGCAACGTTTTGCAAAGTAATTTCTCGTTACGAGCCTAGTTTAACTCGATGGGTATCGATATCGAAGGAGAGGGTGAAGTTTCGTTCTCTACGATTAATAAATCAATTTCAGCGAACGAGAACGCAATTCCGTTTTTCTTTTTTTTTTCTCTCGTTTTCGACTGTCCGACGGTGAATGCCAATTTTCGCGAAACAGCAGTTTTTTCGACAATAATTTTTCCGCAATGTGGCGTACAAAAAAGTAAAAAGAGGGGGCACGCGGTGGGGGACTAGCGTGGAAACTGAAACTGCAGATTGAGCACGCGCGCGATAGGAAGGTTTCTCTTTGTCTTTCCCTTTCCGTCTCCCCGATTTCCTTGCCACCGGGCGAAGAGATTGCTCGTCCGAAATTTAATTGCGTGTCTACCTTTTTGGCTGTGGTCCAAGCGATAGAAACAAAAACCCATCGGCCTTAGTGGCGAATCGCGGTTCGCTGCGTGCCGCAGAAGAAACGGCGCGAACGCGAATGCACGGTGAAATTCGTGCAAACTGTGTCAAACTGTCGGCCGTGAAGGAAAATGGGCAATAATGGTTCGGTTGGATTCGAAATCTGTTTGCAGGCATGAATTAAGGAGGGGGGGGGGGGTGGGGGTGAAGCCTGGGGCGCCATTTTCTTCGAGTATCAAAACAAAGACCGTCTCATCCAGTCTCGAGGCAGGTAAACAATTTTTCGAAATGAAATTTACATATTTAAAAATATTGAAAGGGTATAGCCGGATAAGATGGTCAGAAGTGCCCTTGAGCCAAATTGATCAGTGAGCATATCAGTTAATAGACCGTTCAAAGGAAACCATTTCTGTCAAGTATCAACCCGGTACCCTTACTGGGAGGGTAGTCACAGGACGTAACGCAATTTCCAGTTTAAGCTGTATATCTTTTGTTGTATCGTATAAAAGATTTTGAAAAAAATTGGGGGTATTTTGCTCCATAGCGTACGTGTTCGTGAATTTTTTCAGAACATTTCATCGCGAAACGGATTTTTAAAAAATTGGAAAAGTTTAAAAATATTTTTTTTAAATAGAAATTATTAAATGACCACGTTTGTATTTTTACAGTGTTAGAGTCTCGTTATGATTATTAATCTGTAATTTTTTCAGACTTTTAGACGTTGGGGAACGATATTGGATAAATAAAAAACCGACATATTCGCTTATATTTTTACCTTAATTTTTTATGTGACCATGTTCGTATTGTTACAATTTTAATAGCTTGTTACCGTTATAAATAAATAATTTTTTGAGATCTTTTGTGGAGGTGTATCAGATACAAAATAATTATAAATCGATACTTCCTTTATTAGCATCAATTATAAAGCAGGAAGTTTTCGAACGAATCAAAAATTTTCATTTGTTATTCCGCAATAAAATTTGTTTGACTCCGACATTTACAGAAACAAGTAAGAAAAAAAAGATAACCAGCTCGTAAAAGTAACCGTTTATGCGATGGAAGTCCCAAGACGGGTAAATCAATGTAACGAATGGAGGAAAATCGAGGGACAAACGAAACTGCAAATGTTACGAAGCGAACGAACTCGCGGCAACGCTTATGTTTCGACGCAACGAATAACGGCAGCGACATTTTTCACGGCAATTTATTTTTTAGAATCGATACCAGTTTTTTGTTGGATTCTTACGAACATCGATGCTTCGTTACAAGCCAGTATGGCGTTCGATGCTTAACGTCCATTCCCGTCGAGTTATTAGCGCGGGTAAACTAAATGTTATAATTGTTCTTACGATCCGCTTCAAAAGCGAGGGTTTCTCTTTAACTGTTAATTGCAACAACGTACGTACGTGTCTTTGGTTTCTGCTGGAACCACATTTCGTAGAATTATTTCTTTGTTAAACGACAACAAGAGAACGGTTATACGCAAGCTTCGTTCATCTTTGACGCGTATTAAATATTTTTATAGCCGGTTAGTTTGCCGTCAATGGTTTGCATCGGAAAGAAAATGGTAGAAACGTTTCGTGAGCTGTTACACTATACATATACAGTGTGTTCGGCCAACCCTGGGAAAAGTTTTAATTGGAGATTCTAGAGGCCAAAATAAGACAAAAATCAAGAATATCAATTTCTTGACTGAGGCTTTGTTAAAAAGTTATAAAAAAATTAAATTAAGAAAATTCAAATCATTCTAAAAAAATTATTTTCGGATGCAGGGATCAATTATAATTATTTTTGGTGAATAGACATACCCCCGAAATCCTGCTCATTTTCGAGAAAAAAATTCGAGAAGATCTGAAATTTTTCGACGAAAAAAAAAATTTCAAATCGTTCTGGAAAAATTATTTTCGGTTGCGGGGGTCAAGTACAATCATTTTTGGTGAATAGACATACCTCCGAAATCCTGCACATTTTCGAGAAAAAAATTCAGCACGGAGGGAACTTTAAACGTTAATAACTTTTTAACGAAGCCTCCATCAAGAAATTGGTATTCTTGATTTTCGTCTTATTTTGGCCTTTCGAATCTCCCATTAGAATTTTTTCCAGGGGTGGCCGATCACTCTATAAAAAATGTTTTATTCTTTAATAAATACGAAGGGTAACATTTTACGTAAACGACACGGCACTCTCGCACAGGGAGATTATTTTTCGGTTAGGAAG